TCAGGAAGTAGAGTTACCTTATGATCAAATTCAAAATATATGGTTTTCTTTATAATTTTTTTTTTCTAAATGTAGACTATAGTGTTTTGTATGTGGGAAAGAAATGTTTGGAAGAACAGTGCAATTTTTATCATCTTGTCTTAATATGCTCCTGTGATGTTGATAAGTTATAGTTTTGTCTTGGCTTTTTGTTTTTTATCTTCTGTGAAGGAAAACTTTGATTTTTTTTTTATTTTTTTTTTTGAGTGGCGGTACTAGACTACTGAAGAGAGTAACAGGCCACGAATAACACACATATGAAAGTTTTCAAAGGCAGGTTGGAGAAGAGCGAAGGAGATGGCATGGAAGGCTCAGGAGAAAGAGTGGATTAACTGCAGAAAGAAGGCAAGCCACTCTAATGAGGGACTCCTTGTTAAGGCCTGTAGACCATGGTCAATAAAAAGAACAGAAGAACTTGTGTGCTGAGAGTAATACTGCAAGGTTCAGAACTGCTCTCTAAAAGAATTTCAGCAGTGGAGAACATGTGTGTGATAGTCTTCGCAGTGGCAGAACTTACTCTTCAGAGTTTCTGCTGGAGTGGATTGTATGTTCCATACAAGGATGATATTCAGATATAAAGCTATGCAGTGTAATTCTGGATTTATATTTTTTTTTAAGAGGAGACAGGCAAAGGCAAGTCAAAATATTACTGATCAATAGCTACTCTGATAAATGTGATTGAGTTTCCAGTCTTCAGGAGATGCTCACAGAATGAGTCTTCATGAAGGATTAATTCCTTTGGGTTTCTTTTTAGAGATAAGGCTTTTGTAGCGGATGAAAGTGTCTTGCATGAATCTTGCCCAACTTTTTTGCCTCACGCTTTTAGTTTAATCTCCACACTTGGGTTTAATCTCCACACGGCAGGATAAAATTGGGTAAACATGACTATGGCAACGCATAAAGAGTCTCAGCAGTTGGGATGGTCTAAAAGACGACAAATCTTTTGACTAGAGCTTTAATGTGGGCAAGGAATGCATTTAAAAAAAAAAGCTGTGCATAATCTGACTAGCATATGAATAGAAAAGATGAGGGAATGACATCATGTGTTGTGTAATATGTTGCATCAGCAGTCCTTTCTTAGTTTTTTTGTTGGTCTTTATCAAAATAATTTTCAGGTGTGATGACAGGAATTTCTGCTGGTGTAGTGTTGGACTTGTGCATTCCTAGAAAAGGAGTTTGATGTCGATGGAGTGTTTTCACGTTGACAAGAAATGCTAGTGGGAATGGTGTTGTTACAGAACGTAACTTCTTTGAGGTTATGGAAATAAATGCTGCTAGTAGTGGTGTGGCTCAGATATTTCAGGAATTGCTAGCCCAGTGATTTAATCACCAAATTGTTACTGAATCAACAGGAGGTGATGCTATGTTAGCCTTGGTATGCAAGCGTAATGAGGTCTTCGTAGCAGAATTGCTTCTGGAAAATCAACTTGGGTTGTGAGATGACAAGTTGATTCATAAATTCTGTGCTAAGATCATTGGTGTCAGAGGCATGCTTTTGGAGAACTCTGCTGTTGGTAATGTTTTAGAGGCAGCTCAGGTGATAACAGTGGAGGCCAGCGATCTATTCTGTTTGAGCTGCTAAAATTCAGTAATTTTATCCTATGTGATCCTCATTAAGGGGCAATATTGTAGGAAAACACTGCAGATTTAATGGGATGAATAATCACTTCAGTACGGTTAAATACTAGTTATTACTCTAAACATAAAGGAAAAAGCAAGAATTGGCAAGGTCAAGCTGAGTTGTACCTTGAAAAGTCTGTCAGTAGCATGAAAAAGGTTCTTCAGCTATGTAAATAAAAAATGCATGTTATATGGGGGCATGGTGGAATTCAAGTACAAACTCAAATTAATCCTTACACTGCAACAGTGGAATATACCCTGCCATTTTTCCTCAAGATTCGGTACAAAGGAAGTAGGGGTATGGAGATAGCTACAGTTGTAGTAATAAAAACAGTTGTCTCAAATGGAGGGACCAGGTTCAGTGCCTCTTGAAAGAAACTGAGCTTAGCAATAGGGTTTGTGTTTGGGTTTTTTTTACCAAATTTATGGGCTCAAGAAGGATTTCTTTTTTGTGAAAAACAGCTGGTTTTTTTACCAAATGTATGGGGTCAAGAAGGATTTCTTTTTTGTGAAAAACAGCTGGTGTGGTACTGATTGAAGTGGACAATGAAGGTAAATAGCCAGGCTGCTACAGCAGTGTGCAGGGCACCGAAGAAAAGTAAAATACTAAGTAGAAAATCGAACTAGTTGCAGCGTGGGTTAACTGTAGATTGTATCCTTGAAATTCATCCATTTTGCTATTGCTTCAGTCCTCAAGATGGAAAGTTACGGGTTTACTTGCAAAGAAGAATAACTCATGCTGTTAACTTGGAGCTTACCAGGTGACGTTGACAGGAGGTTACTAGTTGATAGAGGGAGAGCAGGAGAACCCGAATAGAAGTTAGGATAACTGCATTACCTGAGCAGGTGGTTCTAGTGACTTGTTAACTGTAGCGGTTATTTAAACCAATGTGCTGCTTTGAGAATGAAGAGGTAATGCACAGGGGCAATACCTCTGAGAAAGCACAGTGCAGTCCCTGAAGAGGACAAAAACTTCCATAGGAAGCCTCACTGGGACTCTGTCACTTAATTTGAGCCTCGTATCATGCTGCCACAGAAGAAGGTAAATTTGATCTTAAGTTATGCTGGTTGTGAAGTATTTTCAGTGAGTGCATCGGAGTGTGGTCCTGATTTTGGAACTTCATCTGAGTTAGTTTATGCAGGGCTGGTCAGGTGATCATGGGACACAGAGTGGAGAAATTTTTAAAAAATCAATAAGGCGAGATTAAAATTTTAGCTTGTTTAAAGCAAAATTAAAACTGGAAAGGGAACCGTACATTTTGCAAGGGGAATAAATACTAGAGGTACAAAGAAACTTGTTGAAGCTGGGAAACAATGCTGTCACAAGTGGGCATAAATAGATTATAACTTTACCTAAGTTGTAGTTTAGAAAGCTTTTAACAATTGTGAGGTAGTGGAACGAGCTGCCAGTTGGAATAGTGAGAGCAAAAAACTTAAAAGGGGGATTGTAAAGCTCGCAAGAGGAATATATTGCCTGTGATTGAGTCTGGATTCAGAGAGGAGTTTCTAACAGTGCCTGCTTATTGGGGAGGGCTGTCTTGCTGGGCCAGTCTGTCCTTCTGCTGCTCAGTGTTATGGAAGCAAAGCTTTGAAAGAAAGCTCTTCAGTTGCTCTCTGGTCAGGCAATTTACATGGACAGTAGCAGGAAAGAAGATAAAAAATATGTTTAGAAACTTAATTTTTTCAGTTCTATTAATAACTTCCTTTCTCTCTTGTGTTAGCTAAGGTCATGAAAGACAACACAAGATCTGACACTGACCTTAAAACAAAAAGCTAACACAAAGCTAATACTTTTTTTTAGTAAAAAGCCCCTATTACTAAATACTGCCTTTTGATTTTGGGGGTGTATGGTGCTTTCTCAATTTGTGGTGTGGTTCAATCTTTTTTTTTTTGTAGTGCAGTACTTGACCTCAATTATACACTTGCAGGTGCTGCCTCATTTGTGTGGGTTGAAGGGATTTTACCCAAATTTTAAAGACAAATGTGTATAATTATAGAGGTAAAAAGCTCCCGAATCACCATTGGATTAATTTAGTGAAACTTTTTATTAGTCTTCCACACAGAGAAACTTTGACTTAAACTTTGATTTTTCTTTATATCTGTGAGCATCTGTGGTCAGAAGACCACTTTCTTTGGTGGGAGGGACTGAATCTATAGAACATTTACAGAAAGAAAATAGAGATAATCTCCCAGCTGTTCAGTGAATTCTGCATCCTTAACAGTTCACAGCATTGGTAGATCCAAGAATCAGTTGATGGCGACCATTAGCTTTATCTGACTTAACTGTTCTCATAGCTGTGAGCAACTAGCATTACTCTGAGGGAGAAGAGAAGCGCAGCTGCATGGGAACTTTTTGGTGCAGAACTGGTGGGAACAATTTTAAAAGATCTGAGAAGATATGAGTTCTCAAAAAAAATAACAAAAGAATTCAAGAAATCTGTATTGCGGTCAGTATGGTATACAGAAATAGCAGAATGGACAAACCTGTAATAACTTACCTCTGAAAACGCTGTCGTATATCTTTCTAAAAGGAGATTCTGTTTTGCATCCCCCAAAAAAAGTTACTGGCTGGAGGATTTGTATGAATTTTGCTGACGCTGCTCTCTGGACTTGGAAAGCAAATTCAATGGAATGAGTAGCTCTGGCTAAACGCTTTTGAGAATCAGTTTCTAGAAAACATATGTTTTTTTCCAGTATCAAAATACAGTGTTTTTATTTTGTAGGCAAGTTGGTATGGGGTGTGAAAATGTTGAGGAGGTGACAATGAAATTCAAGTGTATAAATAAATTGTACCTTACGCCTAAATATTAAAGATAAACATGATCTTAAACACGACTACAGTATTCTGTTTAGATCATCATTTTTAAAAAATAGCGAGCACTTCATTTGGGTAAGTCTTTCTGTATTCCAGTGAAAGTGATGATCATGTCTATTATTAATTGAATTGCTCTAAACAAGAAAAAAAACATGTGTAACTCATTTAATTTAGTTTTATAGTTTAAGATATGTAGAATTAATAGCTGACTTAAAAGATCATGGTCTTTTTAAAATTTAATCAACTTTATAACTTTAGATATTGTATTGCTGGGTTGCTTTGCTTATTTTAGTGATAGTACGAATAATAGTATTTAAATTTCTAATGCTTCACAAAAAAATCTGTTTTTAATGAACTATAGTTCCAACTGGAAGATAGCTATTCACTTTAGGATACTGTATTTTTAAATTTTTACTTTTTTTAAAAAAATGTACTATTCTAAAAATTTAAAATACCATATTTTTGGGAAAATCTGTATGTCAGATGCTTACTTACGACTCTTTTTTTTTCTCTGTTTATTTTTAAGACGAGCAAAAATCAAATTAAAGTAGATCTTGTAGATGAAAATTTTACAGAATTAAGAGGAGAAATAGCAGGACCTCCGGACACACCATATGAAGGCAAGTAATTTTTTTGTGTATGCAATCATTGTACACTTCAAGTCATGTGTCTTGAGATGCTTTGTCTATAAAGTTAATTTACAGCATAAAAACATGGAGCTACATGTTTTAAATTACTCTGATTTTTTTTTAATACAAATTTCAAACTTGAAAAATATTACAGTTCAAATTCTGCATTGCCTGAAGACAGATCTGTTACACAGATTAGTCTGTCCTACTGTAGCAGAGGTCAACTTGCAGGTATAAACTGTGCAGTGTAATTGGTATAATTCTGACTTTTTAGTTGTTTGTTTACCATCTGAACAGTTTAAGCTGCTTAGCCATGAAGCATCAAGAAACTTGAGTTTCAGAATCTAATGATCTAATGTAACTGTACATGTATTTCTGTGATGCAATGGTCATTCAAAAACGTGTTACACTTTTCTATCTCAAGGAGATTTGCCATTGCGGGTTAAACTTGGGATTTGTCTCAGACATCTATGGGTCTCAATATTTAATTTGTACTGGAGTGGGGCACTCTACAGTAGAACTGTCTATAGCTCTTCAAAAATTGCACCTTATTACTTTCTTGTTTGTTAAAGCTGGTATCAGTAATTATGCATCTCTTCAGTCTGGAAGAAGCGAGATAACCTCTCATAAATAGAAGCTTTAACAGAAGCTAATACAGCACACTTCATCAGAGATACCAGATTACCCCATAGTGCTGGTACTTGTAAACTTTCTTTTTGCATATAATATGTAATGGAGCTGGCAGACACCCTTTCTATTAAAATTCCTTGATGATAAATGAGGGGGTTTTGGTGTGTGGTGTATTTTTTTTTTAGTATTATTTTTGGTTACTTTTAAATGATGTTTTATTCAAATTTTCCATGCCAGATATCTACTTTGATTTGAATTTGAACTTCCAATAAATAAAAATGTCTCAAAGAACACTAAAGACGAATAAATTGTTTTGTTGTAAATTCAAACAATTTTCAAAGTTTTCACTTACTGTAGTTGCTCCATGCCTTGGAGCTAAGAGTGAGACTTGAATATTGTCCAGAGACCAGACTTGACCATTTGTCATTATTTTGAAAAATATATTCTCATCAAGTGGGGAAAGTGTCTGAAAAATGTTTTGTAGGTGCAAGTGTACACACACTTGAAAGTGTTAGTAGCTACTGATGAAAATCTGGTTGTTGCGTCTTCACTAAGGAGAACATCCTTTGTGATTGCTTCTCTGGTCTAGGAGCTGCTGGTGCATCAGCATTGGGCTTGAGAGCAGGGAGTCTCCCCAATGCCCCACCACCACCAAGGCCCAGGGCAGATAAAGGATGAGGAAATGGCCTACTAGAGGTTGACATTGAAGAGTATTGGACAGGGGTAGAAGGTGTCAGAAGCTGAGAAAAAATGAAACGATCCTGGAAGGGAGAGAGTAGAAAAGTAGAGGCATCTGTGATTGTGGGGATGCTCTCCTCCAGAACTTGAGTCCCAGAGTTCCTCTGCTGTCTAGCAAATAACAGTGGTTTCCTTCCTCCCTTCCCCGACGTGTCTCGATCCTCATCTCATCAGCCACTAGTGTTTAGCTGACAGAAGATACTGTCTGGAAAGATTGCTGGTTCTGGTTATAACCTGTGCCTTCAATTTAAAAAGAGAACTATGCTGTGGACCTAAAATACATAGTTGATCTGGTGGCCTATTTGCAAGTGGATCATTCTGTTTAGTGTAATGGTTCTTTTGCAACTATAGTTGGTCTTGTGAGACCAAGTCTAATATACAGATGTTAAGATGTTGCAAAATTAAGTAATTAGATACTGGGAAACATCTGAATGGTGGGGGAAGGGGCTTTTGGGTGGTTTTGGTGGTTGTGTTTTTTTCCTGTTCAAAAGAATACATCTTCCTTGGGTGAGTTGGTTTGTCACTGCTTGCCATTTTTCCTTCCCCCCCCCCCCTTCCCTCCAGGCTAGTGTTACCTCAACTTACAAAATAGACCTCTTTTGGAGAATGTATTGAGAGTTATTTGGAATGAAAGATATATTCATGTGTCACAAAAGTCAAAAACTGTATAGCAGTTCATGAAGAGGGTAGGAAAAGATTTGAATGCTTGTCTGCAGAACTGGATTCTGTTTGATGCTGCATTATCCAGCTAGACCAAAATTTCAAAAGCTGAGCACTGTGTATTCACACATTCAGCACATCCAGCTAATGAAATTGAGCAATATGTGTTTAGTGCAGAATTTGTTGGTGTGAAATGCATGCATACTTACTTATGTATGAGTACATTTACTGATGAGGACGTAGTAAATATCCCTTTTGGGGGGCTAAAACTTATGTATTCTGATTATGGCAGAGATTGAATGGAAAAGTAATGTGGTTGTATGCTTATTTTAATCTAGAAGCCATATACACCAAGGACCAAAATGAAAGTTACTGGCAGGCCAATTTCTGACGTTTCCTAACACTTGAGTAATTTACTTCGGGGTGTTAATATTTCTGTAACATAGTTTTATGCATTTATTCCCTTATGTAATTATGAAGGGCTTGCCAGAGTGTATATTTTACATTCTGTGACTGACACAGTAATGTGTGCTGCATAATTACTGACTGATCTCCTGTCATCTATAGTCTAAACAATGACACAGCAAGAAGTGCCTTATGAAGAAAAGCTAATTAATGCAACAGTTCAGGTCAGACAATTCCCTGATACAGGAGAGAATTCTAGGGCCATTGTGAAGTGAAAGAACGGTAATATTTATTGTTAACCACAGTTGGTGAGGCATCTGAAAACAAACTGCTGCTGCAAAATTCTTTTATAGGTGGTGTTGGGACGTTGGTTTAAGTATGATTGAGAGGAAGAATGCCGTCTATTGTTGACAAATTTTACAACTTTTAGTTTTTTGTCAGTGATGTCAACTCATATTGGTCAATTATCAGAATATTGCAAGACACAACTTCAATTGAAACACGTTTGCATCCCACATTAAAACGTGTATGTTTGGAGAGAGGACCTTTGGAAGTCTAGATTAATGGCTGCTGGGTTTTGCTTGATTCAAGAGCTTTTCAAGAGATAGGTTGGGGGTTTTTGTTTTGTTTTTTAAACCCTGTGTAACCATGGTATTAATTTCAAACCAAGTTCACGTGTGAGCCGCAATAACTGCAGAGTTTATAATAGAGTGTTTCTTTAAGGAAAAAAGTTAAAACTTGCTCTGACTCTATTGAGTAATATGCTCCAGTAGAAGTGGAGAAGGAATGTTCTGCCATTACTGTTCAATTTGGTCTCAAACATTAAATAGCTACAAAAAAGCCATACATGTGCATACTCCTTTAAAAAAAAATCCACAGAAATATTGGCATGCAGAAGTTAGTATGTTAGTCACTTGCGTTTTAAACATATTAAGGAAATTAATATCCAGATTTGTTCAGTTTAAGTCTTCAAGCCTATATTTTTAACTGTAAACTTCAATGCACAACAACAATACTGTATAAATTATAATATTAGCAACTTATTAGTCCCAGCAGTTTTAAAATCTTTTGGACTTGTGCGTTCCCAAGTGGAAAAAATTTGGTGACCGAATAGCCTCTTACACAGAAGGCTGTAGTAGTCTGTCTTTTAAAGGCAAGTTTTAATGATAAGCAGAAGAAATAGTAATACGTGAGGATAGGCTTTATATTACTTTACAAAATGACGTGGCAGTAAAATCATGCAGGGACTGATGAATTTTTGCATTCAGGAACAGTGTAATTGTTCTATTTCTTAGGAAGAATTACTGCTGAATTATGCTTCAATTCAGGCACAAGGAAATGCAGACTTTTAAGTCTGTTGTTGATGTACATGTCTTAAAAAATATTTTGCCTGTGCTGTCCTGTAAGCAGACAGGCGATCAACTTGGACATTAACTATTATAATTTTGGATTTATTGGCCTTTCTTCTCTTGTATTTTCTGTTAAATCTCTCAAGTTACTGTAGTATTAAGTGAGAAAAAACAGCTATAGAAAGTAGTGTAAAACACCAAACTGATAATAACCAGTTTCAGGTGTAGTATATTAGACTGAATTATACTTTTAAATTGAGAGGTGTTAGTAGCCTCTAACATGTGTTTTGGTACAGATAAAAAGGTGCCATAGACTATAACTGTTCAGAGTATTCCTCTGAGGTCTTTTTCCTGCATCTGAATCTTGCTGCCTATATTGAGGCTACTTGAGAGCTGGTTTTGTATAGTGATTGGCAACAGAGCAAATCACTCTTGAAGTCCCAAAAGGAACTAAATTGCACATACTTCAGCTTTAATTCAAGGAAATTTATAAATTGTAACAAAGTATGTTGAGGGAGGGAAAAGGTTTCTTTCTGAAAGAACAGTGGTAGGATAAGGAAAAAAATTGCAAGGAAGGTGAAATGCTTTCAGTTTCTATAAAAACTAAACGTCTAAATGGGTTTATATGTTTTGTTATATACTCTGTTGGGTTTTTTTGTCATTAACCTGCTGCCTGGCAAATGATCTTCAGTGGGCAGGCAGAGATAGTTTGGAGGTTGCTCCAGAAGACATGAGTATTGAGAGTAAACTTGAATGTTAATGAAACTATAATTGAAATAAACTTAGGTAATGATACTGAAATAGGAAGAGAAAAAAGATAAATGTTTAGAAAAGAGCAGTAGAAGGGGGGTTCTGTCTGCCAAGCTCATGCTATCCTTTATTGTATGCTGTAGTCCGGCAAACTGCATTAATAGTACTAGTGTGTCAAAGTGTTTGCAGAATTGAAATAGAAGCAACTACTTCAGACAGTAACGCAGAACACAGTGAAAGTAACATTGGAGCCTTCTTTACTTTTTTTTCTTAAATGACTTAATCAAACGTTCTTCAGTTCCAGAACGTTTAAAATGAAATGCAGTTAATTTCAATTATGTAATTTGAAGAAAATTTATTGACATGAGGTATCAGGAAAGAGTCAAAATAATGTAATATTCCATATTCAGCCTGAACATTCATGTGGCCTATTGTTTCATCTCTTTAGGGGACATTTGATTCATATTTTGGTGTAATTTCCATGCTCTGTTTTATTAAAATATAACGCTGTAAACAAACCGTAGGACAATGTACACATTAAATATACCTAAGAAATACAGATTCTGATGTACATAAACAAAGATGGCTTTTAGATGTACTTTATATGCATTTGTTTAAAATATATGAAATTCAAAAGTATCTTCTAACTAATACTTCTGAGTAAATTTGAATTACTTGAAAACCTGTCCATTTAGAAATGTAAGCTTTATTGTCATGAACGACTAAGCTTGAGTAATGTTCTTTTGTTCTAATTTCTAAATTGTTCTCGTCTTTTGCAGGTGGGAGGTATCAACTAGAGATAAAAATTCCGGAAACATATCCATTTAATCCCCCTAAGGTACTGTAAATGCTTTTTTTGGATAAAATAATTTGGGTAACAAGTTGGTTTTGAGTAATGTTTGTTTGCGTGTGTAGTCTCTTTGTAGTACCCATCTTCCTTTTTTTTTTAGTCTCCTCTAGATAGGCATTGAAGCTGTCATCTTTAGGTAGAAATAATGTAGGATGCATAACTGTATCAAATCAGAAGTACAGTCATTATTCCTGAAAGTACGAACTGGAAAATTCTAGGGAGGAGCTTCTGCCTTATTATTGACCCTCGTGTAATTTATTTTTGACAAGATAAGAAGAGTTTTCGGATAGTTTTACTTGATGTGGAGAGCAGGGCTATGTTCCCTACCACTCAGAAGCGTTGAAGAAGTACTGTAATAGATAATTATTGATTATTTTAATTTCTTGGGCTCCATAAGTTATATTTAGTAGTGTGTTGGGTCTAACCTACCAAGTTTCTAGTAATAATTAAATAGTGAGGTGGACAGTTGTGTGACTTGAAGGACCAATAGAAAAATATAACAGTCTCACTGCAACTATTGAAGGAATGCATAAAACGTGCACATGAATGAGAGACAAGAGAGATGGCTGTGGTTAAGTCACTCATACGTTTTTCGCAATTTATTGCCCTTTCAACTTTACTGTATCTTTCTAGCACTTGAAACTTGTGACTTCACTTCCCTCCTAAATAAATCAATCTGAATAGTGTTCTCCCCAGCCATGTGCAGCTGCAACTGTAAATTCCTGTGCCCCGATTTAGTGGCTTCTGATGAATCAGCGGGCTCCTGAGTTATCTGACTCAGCTTCTTGATTGGTTTTCTGTTTGTCTGAAAGATGTCTTTGAGCTAAGAATGTGTCCTAGATCCCGATTATTTTCACTCTGGTATGTAATATTGGGAAGGAACTGGGAAGGAGGAGGAGGGGAGAGGTGCCAGTAGCTCTTTGCTGCTAGCCCCTTGTCCTTTGAATGACTTCCTTGAGGCCGAAGTGAATGGCATAGTATTAATGAAATATCAGTTGCTTTCAGTTCTTTCATCTGTGTGTGTGTTCTGGGGAGCTAAAATAAGGAGAGCTGAAACAGGTCATAGATACTGAAAGATGGGTCTACGGACCATGTTTTAATTGCTGCTTTAGGGCTTGGTGGTTTCCATTTCCAAAGCTTATAGACAGCCATTAGAAGCTCAGTGCACTGTAGCATAGTACTGCTTATTCTGGAGTCTGTAGTCTTGAATTGGAGGCCTTTTTGCTTGTGTCTAGCCCTGCCTTTCATCTGAAAGATTTCTTTATATTGTTCAGTATGTGTTTTGACAGCCATTGTTAGCCATCATTCACTGTGAGAAATTACCTAGTATTTACCTGGCTTTTTACATTTCGAAGTGTTTTGGAGAGTTGAGCTACTTAATAAGTGACTCAGCTGACATGATCTCTCTGTCCTGGAAAGCAGAACTGTTACGGTGTTGCCTATTTATACACTATGATTACACTGATTTTATTATAGCACTGTATGTATAGTCTTTTGCTGTAGTATCTGACAAATACTGTGTTCTCGGCACTGATTTGCGTGCAGATCAGGGGCAAAAGTTGGAAGATCTGTGCTTTATGTAAAATGTTTGTCAGGAGCTTGGATTGAGGGGATAGAGATGAGAAACAGAGACAGGTCAAAGTCACTAGAAGGTAGTTAAAGTATAACCTGAAATAAGAGGCTTGAAGAAAATGGAAGGAGAAATTTCTGAACACATGTATATATCCCTTTCAGAGGGCGACTTTGAGTTTTGAGACTTTTAAAAGAAAATGCTGCTTTTAGCTTTCTCTGTCTTTTTTTTTAAAAAAAAACACACCTGATTTTATTTATGCTTTTTGAGCATGAATACATTTTATTTTAATGTAAAAAAAAAAAAAATATGGACATGATAAATGAATGCTACGAATAGGTCCTTTCAACAGCAAAAGGAAAATAATTGTAATCTAGGTAGATTTTTTTGTTTGTTGAAGAGCTTTGTGCATATGGGTAATGAGACTGGATGGTTGTAGAATTAGTAGCAGCCACCAAGGAAATTCTTACAATACTTCCATGGCTACCGAAAGTTTAGCTGAACAGTGAGATCCAGTGCCTATGTTAAGAATCTAGGGACTTGATTCACTTCTATAAAAGTGGATTTTCTAGCATTTACAATGTTGGAAGTTTTAAGTGTGTATTTAACCATCTGCTTATGTTGAAACACTGGTACTGCTGCAGGATATTTCCAAATGGCTTTATGCAATACAGGGATGTGCACATGTGACAGTGTATAGGAAAGCAGTTAGGGGTGAATTTTTGGTGTCCTCAAACAGACAGTAGTCTGACTTTGAGTAAAGCAAGGCTCTGTCTAATAAATGGCCTTGCAAATTTGAAGCCTCCTGAAATACGTGGTATCATACGTCTTAGTTCTGTTTTTTAGCTTGGTGTTTTCTGAATTAGTATTTCTTTATATTATATTAGAAATGCTGCATTTAAAATGTTTCCTTAAGATACTGCATTTAATAACCATTTTTGTTTCTGAAAATTGTCTTGCCTTCTAGGTGCGGTTTATCACCAAAATATGGCATCCTAATATTAGCTCAGTCACTGGGGCCATTTGCTTGGATATTCTGAAAGATCAATGGTAAGATTCCATATGTATTTAAGTATGCAAAGTCAAATATACTGGGGTTCTGGATAGGAGGCAACAACTCATGTTGTTCTTCACTTTTTGTTTGTAATTTGAGATGTCCTTAAAGCTTACAATGTTTTGGTATAGTATTTCGAGTTGAAAAGATCCAAATGAAATGATTGGGCAGTAATTTTGGAAAGTACTAAATAGATTATATGTGCATAGAGGGCTTTTCCAAAATTTTTTACACTAGAGTTAGGATGAACATTTCATTGTTGATGTTTTGGGTGGTTTTGTGGAAGTTTTGTTTTTTTAATTTATTTAGTTCTTTTCCATTAACAAATGGTACCTATTGCCTCCTGAATTGTGTCCTTTCAGCCTCCTGAGGTGTAAGCAGAAAAAACCCAAGTGCTTATCTTCATTCTGATGCTTGACTTCTACTTCCAAATAAAAATTAGTTTGGATAGAGCTAAAACAATGTATGAAGCGAGTCTGGGAGTATAAAAGGTAACAGGTCCGCAATAGGAAAGGGAGAAGAGACTGACTGTACTGATTCTGTCGTATTATCACTGCTAATATTTATGATTTGCTCCTCTAAACCACTTGCCTTTTAGTTGCGTGCTTTTGATTACTCAGTGTTACTGAAAAAGTTTTAATAGCCAAAATCTGTGGAATAGACCTGAAGTGTCCAAGCTGTAACAGCTGAACTCATTATTCATTGTTTTATCCCGTGATACATTTCATGTGGTTTGAAGATCATATGCACCAATTGTATGAATAGACATGATAGGTAATGCAATTAATCTTTGTTATTTTCCTCCATGTTTGCTCCAAAAGAATAGGACTGTAATTCCCCAGCAGATGATATCAATATCTAAACCATACAAGCTTCAAATGCTTGTAAATTCAACAGTTGCATCAAGACTGTTGTTGGCCAAGCAGACATGAGTTGGGTTTGAAAGAGAAACTCTAGAGCAGAAAGCTTGAGCTGAGGTCTTGCAGGTGACACATCCTTTGCGCTCATCTTCTACAGACTGAGAAGATCACGCAAATCATATGGCAAAGCATAGTGTAAATTACTAAAATGAAATCAAAATAATCATAAGCTGTTGTCTTTTTCATTTCTGGAACTGCATGTTTTTTCTTACTTTCTTGATGTTCTTTCAGGCAGTAGAAGCTTTCAACATACATGCCATGACATGTGGTATAATCTTTCTATCAGCAAAGCCAGTGCACTTTTGCACTTGCATCTAATTATTCATACAACCCTACAATTATACTGGAGATTAATGACTCTTTAACTGTGCAAGTATAGTCTCCTGAGAGATCATACTCTAAACCAGATTGGTGAATGAGCATGAGGTTGGCTGGTTGGTTTGTGTGTTGGTAGTCTTTTGGATTTTTGTTTGTTTGGTTTTGGGTTGTTGGGTTTTTTTGGCAAAACGTTTTGGAGGGTGTTTTCAATGGAGATCACTTCACTGATTTGAACTAGAGCACATAAGCTTAGCTGGGAGAGCAGGTTTATTTCACTCAGGACATGGGAAGGCAAAAATTTCTTTTTCTAGCAGCAAAGGTGCTTAACATGGAACTGCATCTCAGCATCATTAGTACTCTCTTCGGAAGAATTTATCAGAAATTTTTTAGCTCAACATTTGTGTTTTTTTCGTACGTCTTTTGGTACTTCTTTATGCACTGTCTATTGCTTTACTTGGTGTAATCAAGGTCTGTGACTTTTTAACAAGTATCCTCAAGGCTAATCTTTCCATACTGAAACCCCTAAAAATGTTTCTCAAAAGTGATGCTTACCTAGCATTTTCCCCTGGAAACTCTGAGGAAGGACAGCCCCTAGCGGAAGTCATGCTTATTTATTGCATTCTGAATTTAAATCTAAGTAATTTAACAGCTGTTTTTTAACATTTTCTTGTTATCTTTGTCTTACTCTTAATATATCCCCTAATTTGTGTTTTCTCTGGAGAAAGATGGATGATCTTACTTCTGTAGCAATGGACTGGGATTCAGGAGACCACATTCTGATTTCCAGCCCTGGAACAGGTCTTCTGTTGTCTTTGAGCATTGCCGAATGTTGTGACTTGAAACAGTCTCACCCAGTCTTATCCCAAAGGTGCTGCTTTAAGAGTGAAGCAGTTAATAGCTCGAAGATGAAAGTTTCTGGCCTTTTCAGTGACTGATCAAGCTAAAAAAATACAATAAGGCAACAAAGACCTAAAGAAATAATGAGCTACAATTTAATTTTTTTTTTTCAGTCAAAATCATTGAGATTTGGAAAGGAAGGACAGGAGAGGAGATCTGACTTGTGTTCTTGTAATCTTTGAAAGTTAAATCTTGCACAGGTAACAATCTGTGCCTTAGTTCTTCCAGACAGAAAAAAAAAACCCAAAAACATTAATACCTTTCTTCATTGAGATGTATACAAAATAGGAGTATTGGAACAAGAACTTGCCTTCTGTGTGTTTAAACTGACTGGCATAGGGAGCACTAATATTATGCCACTTACATACTGTTAAACTCTTCCTTTGAAACACTGTCTTCATTTGGAAGCACTAAGGAAAGAATTTCACAGAACTTGATGGTGGTGGAGGGAGGCTTCCTATATTCTCTTTTCAAACAATTCTTAATGTAGTGATCCCTTCATTTTCTAGTGGTACTTTTTGTAAGTTTTGTTTGGTTTTTAATCATAGAATGGCAAATGAAAAATAGTTTGAGCATTGCTGAAGTGCTTGTCAAAGCCTCTGATCCTTTGGAGAAAAGGAAACTTGTGTCTACCTCCATCCTTTCTTGTTTGATGGATTTCAGTACTGTGATAGATAAGACTTTCTTCTGAGTAGCTTTTGAAAAGTTCCTAAGCCATATGAATGGTTAATATTGTTTAAATAAGTTGTTTATTGTTCTTCAGTATATGCTGGTTTAGCTATTTAAAGTGAGAAATGCCCATGTCATCATGTTTTCTGCATGTGTAAGTTGAACAATGGTTTGACTAAAATGATAGCTTCATTAGAAAGCAAACGAACAAAAACCTCACACCCTCTCAACCTTGATAGTTTAATATTTCATAGATTTCACCAAGTATTGAAAGGTAAATAGGACAAACACAGTTCCGAAATAGTCTAATGACTGTGTTCTAGAAAATGTATTTAGTTCCACTGTCTCTTGTCAAATCTTTTAGTAACAAGCTCTGTTTCTGAAGTGCCGCTTCATTGACTTGTAATGCTCTTAACTGAATAATACTGCTCTTGTTGCTGTGTTTAAATATAAGTCCCAAATTCCAGTGCATATCTGCTCATCAGTGGGATTTGAAAGACAGAATTTGGGCATATGGGACTTAGGGTTTCTTAAAGAGTTAATAAACTGATAAAATACTCCTTTATATGTGGTGAATACAAATACAAAGATCTTAATGTGTTTGTGTAGTTAAAAAGTCTGTTCCCTACTCACCCATCCCATGATAATAGTTTTTCTATTCTAATGAGCATAGTTGAGATACTGTTCTGCGTATTGACAGGAGGTTTTATCAGTTTACAAAGTAATATATTTAATGACATTGTTTCTCCACAGCATAGGCGTGATGGTGAAATTCTTAGCAGCTGTGGATTTTCATCATGTTTAGATTTGTAAATACCTGTTGTGCCAGTTTGTTTGCGAAACAGCTACTGTTTGCTGGTAGAATCAAAATAGGGATGTGAATTTTTAGAAGGAATAACGTTTATGCTGATCTGATATGACTTTTGTTATGTGATTTCACTTACTGTAGCCTATATTTATCTTCCAGGCTAGTATTCTGTCTCAAAATTTTATTCTTAAATATAAAATGTATCTAATACTGCTCATTGAAACCTGAGAACTAAATTACTTGAAAGCTGTTCTGCATAAATCCCTTGAGCAGTGATTATCAAGCAAATGTGTTGTGGCTGTGTGTATGGCTGCAAAAAACTCTTGACTCTTGTGGTTTTGACAGTCAAAATAAAAATGAATAATAAGAGTATTTTTTTCATAGTGGCTGTACTGGAGGATTCACATTTGGGTTTTTGCTGAGATGCAGAAATGATTATTATAAGAGATAATACAATTTTAATGTATACGTAAGCAATAGCCAGCTCATAGTAATCATCATCTTGGGCATCGAAACCTGCTGGGTTTTGTTTAGGGTGTTTGAGGAGTGCTGAGCCTCTTTAAAGCTTTGAGAAAAATGCAGAGAATATTAACATTGTTTGAGGAAACTCTTCAGCACGCAGGCTGTCTTCCCCTCATCCTGCACTATATCAAAGCTATTCTATTATTCTTTTTTTTTTCTTTCCCTAATTGGGTGCCCAGTCTTGTATTTCTCTTGTAAATAGTGACTATACAACTAGCTTCCACTCAAAGGCCTTGTTCATTTCCTCCCTCCTTCCAGGTTCCATAAGCCTTTAGTACAAGTTCCCAGAGCTTTTCTCTTGGATTAACAAGCTTAGTTATTTCACAAATGGAATAAATATTGCAGATTATTTTCAAAAAATAAAAATAATTTTAAAAAAATTGTTCCCAGTAGCCATGTTATTTTTGGTTGACAGTGGAGTTGCAGTCTGCTGGCTGCAGCTGTTCCTGTTGTTCTGCTGGGTTACCTCTCAGATTGACTAGAGAGATTGTTCCCAGAGAGGAATGTACAGAACATTAAGTAAAAACTTTCAAAATGGAAAATTACTTAGCCTTTAAAAATGAAGAAGAAAAAGAAAAACTGGCAGCGTTTCGTAATCCTGTTAGGACTCTTTCAGCTCATTGAAAGGTAAGAGATTTCTTACCTCAGGCATGCTGGGCACAGCTGGCTTGCTGTGCTTTTTAGTGTTATCACTATATTCACCCAAACTACCAGGGGTGCTTTTTTTAATGGAAATGCCCCAAGGTATTACCCAAAAAAAAAAGTGTAAGTGAATAAAATATATATATTAGCTTCGTTTGTTCTACTTCACTTGGAGTGTCCCTTGCTGTTTGACAAATGCCATGCCAATAGAAAGCCTGTTTTTTGGTTAGGATGTCCGGAGTGGAGGCTTATCATTTGAAGTTCTCAGAAGGACAGTGCTTCCCTGTAGTGAGCTCTCTGCAGCTCTTGGGTAGATGTTACTAGCCTTTCTTCCCATTTTGTAGATGTCAAACTTGCAAGCCTGCATAGTGACTAAGCAGCATTTTGAGATGAAGGTGAGAGTCGAGTTATTGTAAACTTCAGGAGAAAACAGGAGCCAATAATGTCATGTGCAAGGCGAATAAGATGCTAGGATGTAGGAAACTTTACCTGCGAAACTCATGATATAAGCTGCCTGCTTTTTATTTATGATTGGTCAGACTTCCATTGGAGTAGTGTACCTACTTTGAGCGTTGTATTCCAAGAAAGATGGGAATTGTAGGAAAAATCCAGAGTAAAGTAACAAGAATGAGGGTCTAAGCAAATATGACATACAATGAAAGACTGGAAAGCCATTTTAGCATGCAGAATATCAAGCATGGTGAAGCATTGAAATAGATTTTCCAAGAAACTTGCATGGCTCCAGTTAAGAGCAAATTAGACAGAATTCTGTCAGGAGTGATACAAAACCTTGCCTTTGGCAAGAAATAGAAGGGGAAAAAACCCAAAACCCAAGCATGCAGCTAGCTTGAGTTACCAAAGGGAATTGCCTGAATTCCATGAGATGTTGCGCATAAATCCATACCTAGAAATAAACTTCAAATATAAGAGGAGTTGGAAATCCCTTCATTTTCTTCAGGATGTTAGTCTGGAAAAATAAACCCTTGGAAGGAAGCTGCAGAAGACTTATCTTTCCACTGGAAGTTCACTTGAGGGAAATATAACTTCTTTTTCAGCATGTTCTTCTCTAGCTTATGGGAATGTCATGTGGGGGTGTGTGTATTGGTGGTTTTTTTCTTTGATCAGGAAAGCTAATTGGTGTCCTAAAGGTAGAAAATGTTACGTGAGTATACAATAATTAAACTGAACTCATCAGATTTTTTTTGCATTAATCAGACTTCAATTTCCTTTTTCTAATGCAAACAGCAACTGAAGCTCTAACAGGTTTTTTTTTATGATTTAAGGATACTTCTTTAAAAAAGATTTGTGTCCAATGAGGACTTCGTGTTATTATGCATGAGATGTGAAAGCCTTTTGAGACATGAGACTTGAAAATAAGTTATAAACTACACTTTTAAACCTTTTTACATATGTAGCTAAACTAGTCTTGTCTATAAACTTATTATTTTAGAGTTTGAGTTCTCTGAGCGTATAGCCATCTGTATATCCAAATGGATGAGGTATTTATTTTTATTACTTATTTTGAAATTGGAACGTCAGAACAGAAGTTCAAGTCCCAGTATGCTTCATATAAAAATCTAGAAACGTAACAGATGAACAAGGACTGAAGGGGCCTAGCAGTCTTGAAAGCCAGAGGCGGCTGGAGCCAGCACAAACTTGTGTTCTAGGCATCTGTGGCAGCTTTGGTCCTTAGTAATATCCCCCTGCTCCCCAAGGTATATTTTTCACTCCTAGAAAGTACAGTGTAAATGGAAGTAAATTGCATGTAAAACTGGCACAAGTGGCTGCAACTCATTTTGTATCGTCTTCTCTACTTTAAATAGTGGCAATATTTTCAGATGTCTCTAAAGTAGGGGGATTTCTGTCAAGGAAAGTGAGAACAGCTTTTATTTGGTGAAAGTAACTACAGTATCAGTTACAGTTGATAGATATTTCACATTAAGTCTATCTTTAAAACTACACTAAATAGTGTGGTAAAATTACTCAACTGGAAGAAAGACTTTAGATTTTAAAGCATGTGTGGTGGATATGGTAATTCCTGAAATACACTGCATAAAAGTAACAGTTCAAGCATAGTAAGGTCTGAAGGGCTTCACGTTCTGTGACACACGAATGGCAGAACAGTAAACATGTTGCATTACAGTCATTTAGTACTAGCAGGTAGTACTGTGAATTATGTCATCAATGCATACATTAGATTCATTTCAAGATAAATTTCAATATTTATACTATAAAGCAGTGGAGATGACAAAGAACAGGAGGTTATAAGAGTAAAATAGCATAGGTACATGTAAAGCAAAAATATTTGTGTTCTTTCACTGAGGTGTTTGTGTGTGTGATTCAGGTGTGGAAAAACAAGATGCTTTGTGCTTTTGAGTTTACTATGTTAGCTAGGTTCTCATCATGCAAATGAGGATATGTCTCAGTAGCTAGGTGTTCTTTATCTGATTAGATACAACCTAACTAGTTAATCCCCAGCTTTGTTTGTAACTTAAACATTCTTTGACTTGGAAGAAGCATCCTGCTTGGAAACTGAAATACTTTTTTTAACTGAAAGAGAATCTGAAATTCTAAAAAAAAAAAAAAAAAAAAAAAAAGAAATTAGTTACTAAGGAATAGGCTTGGAAAAAGAGAATTGTATGTTGTGAAGGTTTTGTGATTTTTCAGAATTCAGATCTAAAAGCATGAGGGTTTTTTGAAGATATAAGTTTGCAAAGTTCAGCTTGAGGGGCTTCAAGCTGATGTGGCAGTTGCAAAGAGACATGATGTGCTAATTAAAATCTCTGTCACTTGGGATGTTTCTCACTTGCGTTTTGATGTAGAACACTGCACTGTGAAAGCTCAGTGATGATTATCAAGCTAAAAAAAAGGTAAGTTTCTAGGAAAAAAAAAATCTAGAATTAGAAAATGTCATATTTGAATGGTTAGTGACATAGCGGGAAAGCTGTAAATGTAGGCATCTAGGAATGTAATACTCGGGTGTCACAAATGTACTTCTGACATTTTACCAGCATCTATTCTCTGTTTACCGGCCTACTCTGAGTACCTCAATACAGTCCCTTAGTACTGGAAAATACATAAATTTCTGAAACCTGAGACTGGAAATAGACTTGGAAACTGTTTCCTTTGTATCTGGACCATCAGGTCAAACTCTTCCTCACCCACTCATAACAGACTCTGTGCTTTACTTTCAGTCTTCTGAAAAGAAGAAACTATTTTCTGTTGGTTGAAAATTGAACAGTTTGTCTGTAAGAAATTGGATGCTTGTTTCACAACTTTCCTCTGGCATTTCATGTGCCATAACTGTTTTGCTCAAATCTAAGATGTAACATTTTCCCTGCTTACCTTTCTACTAGTACTTAAGCAGAGTAAGCAGTTTCGTGTATTGGCTTGAGCATCTGTCTGTGCCTTCACTGCAACAATTAAGAGTCTACTTAACTCTTAAAAATCAGCTGAAATATTCAACTTTCACAGGTTCTGTGGGGTCCTTATTTGGTTTCCAGCGTGTGCCAGCTGAAATGGTAGATCAGAGATGGTATTCATGATCAAAATCTAATTAAACTGTATATTTAAAATCTTACAACTTTCCAGATTTACAATGTGTAACAATTTCATACTTTTACTTAGTGTTTATTGACTTTTATGAACATACTTGGATTTCCCTTACTAAATTATTGAAGTTTCTTACTCTAAATATACTTTGAGATCAAGATAGATGATGAGAACTTAGAACTTTAGAGATTCTGACTCCAGAGCTCTGCTACCTTCAACAGGGTTCTTTCACAGAGGCAAAAGAGTGACTCTACAGCGCCATCATGACTACAGAAAGTTTTCCTACTTCTGACAGTCATGTCATGTTGAAATGAGAGGAAGCTGAGATTTTTCAATTGCACATGCTGAAATAGCTAAACCTTTTTTATTATTATGGTAGTAATTCACTATGTAAATTGTTAAATTTTGTTGAAAAATGTCATGTTAAAACTGACGCAGTGCAAAAGATACCGAATTTATAAAATTCCTTGTCTGTTACAAGTATTTAAAATACAGGTCACTGTTTTTTGTATATGCTGTTTCGCTATGAAGAGCGCCAGCAGAGGGAGCACACATGGGCTACTGGTTCAGTACCATGACCTTACACAAGGTGCTGTTACTGGTAGTAAGGAAGGATGACCCATGCTTAAAATTGACTCTGTTTTTTCAGATGAAATTAATTCTATTAAGTAGGCATTGTCAAACGTGTAGGTCAAGGGCTGTATTTTCTCAAAAAGTTAAGAAAGCATTGTTAATGAGAAGGTCCACACTTTAAATCCTATTTAAATATATATATTGAATGATATTCTAATACCTTTAAGGCGCAGCAGTTTAAAATTACAGTTCTTAGACTTCAATCTGTATATGTACTCATATATCATCTATGATACTAATACAGCAGCAAAGGTGAGTATAGGCATGGGATTTGATAAAGTCATTTTCAAATTTTTAATTTTAGGGCAGCAGCAATGACTCTAAGAACAGTGTTGTTATCTCTGCAAGCATTGTTGGCAGCTGCAGAACCAGATGATCCACAAGATGCAGTAGTGGCAAACCAGGTAAGATACGGAGTTGGTTGTGAATTTGTAACACTTCTGTAACCTTTGGTAACTCAGATTAGGTCCCAAACCTTGGGGGAGAGAAAGATTTTAAAGAATTTATTGGAAAATTGCCTTACAGTAAGTGTGAGTTACTGCAGTGTTTTGTTCTCTTTAGCCTTTGGATTCCAGAGTAAGTAGCAGTTATTTTACAGTTGCAGGAGGTTTATTTTGTTTGTTTTGTTCCTTATTTAGCTTGTCAGAAATGTCAGGAGATAACAACATAGTAACATCAATTCCTGTATAACTTGCCCTTTAAAATTGAAGGTTTCTAGAGTAAGAAAAGCAATGTATTGTTTTAAAATGAGTTTTAACTTGATGCTATTCATTGAATTTGGCTTGGCATGTAGCTCCTCTTCCAGATTAATATGAATATTGTTTAATGTCTAAATTATATGAATAGTGACTTTAGATGAATTACTGTTGCTTCATCCTGAGGAGCAATTTATCTGAATGAAGCATCCTATGTATTTTACCTTTGCAAGTACTTGGGATAATCATTTTAGTCACTAATTGAATTGGTATCAGTAGAATTCTATAATGAACAGGGTTTGTTGCTTTTCAGACGGTAGCAATAACTTACAAAAAGTAGTAACAATAAAATGTCAATTGGATCTTGCGCCATACCACGACTGATGTGGTTCTGTTTAAGGCACTGATGAAAGATAGGAACAGTCATTCCATAACTTAATAGTCTAACAGTTTTCAACAAAGTTCCAAGTATGTGCATGTTATTTTCCATTTTACTCTGGGGAGAGAGAAGGGCCTGGCTTCCCCACTGACTAGTAGTAAGGGTATATTTCAGAAACAAAAGAACAAAGTAAGTAGAAGGTTCTTCCAGCATCACTCTCATCTACATCTCCTGTAAGTCAGGACCTTCCAGAATAGGGTGACCAAGTGTGCACTCCTTCTGTTTAAAATCATAGAATCATAGAATCGTTAGGGCTGGAAGGGACCTTCAAAGGTCATCTAGTCCAACCCCCCTGCAAGGAACAGGGATATCTCCAACTAGATCAGGTTGCTCAGGGCCTCATCCAACCGGGCCTTGAACGTCTCCAGGGATGGAGCATCCACCACCTCTCTGGGCAACCTGTTCCAGTGTTCTACAACTCTCATGGTAAAAAATTTTTTCCTAATATCCAACCTGAACCTACCTCCCTCTATTTTAAAACCATTACCCCTTGTCCTATCATAACTGGCCCTCCTGAACAGCCTCTCCCCATCTTTCCTGTAGGCCCCCTTGAGGTACTGGAAGACCGCTATAAGGTCACCCCGGAGCCTCCTCTTCTCCAGGCTGAACAGCCCCAACTCTTTCAGCCTGTCCTCATAGGAAAGGTGCTCCAGCCCTCTTATTATTCTTAAAATACCTGCATAGGATAGTAGATAAGCAGTTCATCAAACCTGTCAGGATTTGGAGGGAAACGTGGAGATCGGGGGTAGCCCGTTGCACTGCTGGGTGGGGGAGAGCTGTTTGCCATTCCCGTGCTCAGCAGTAAGCAGGGAAGGTGTGCTTGTGGGATCTGCAGCGCTGCAAGGCTGCTCAGAACAAATGTCCCCGAACAGTGTTGTCAGACTGATGTGCTCTGTGCACGAAGAATTGTTGCTAAGGCCAGCAAGGCCACCAGGCATGTCCCTCTACGGGTTTTTCTCCCCGAATGCCTGCCCTTGCTGTCACACTCTTTATTAAACAAAACCACTTTTTTTTTTTTTTTCAAAGAACAAGAATAGTGTTTCCCATTCTAGCCCCAATGTTAGAATTTTGTGTGGGAATCGTAACAGTCTCATAGAAGCACTTGAGCAGGAAAGAGAGTT